GAAGGAGCCATGCACAGACATCATCTTTTCCCCCTCCTTTTCTTTCTTGTTTCTCTTTCTCCTCCTTGTTTCCCCCCACTTCCCAGGTGGATCAAATCCATTCTTGTCTGCCTCCCATCCCCCATATCCCCTTCCCCCACCAGCCAAGGGCCACCATGGTGGGACAAGCAAGGTAGGATGAGACTATGGCTATTTGGCAAGTGGTTTTATTTTTTGTTCTGTTTTGTTGTTGTTTTTTTTTAATGGGCAGTACTATGTTCAGTTCAGGTTGTGAAGAAAAATATAAATCAATGTTTTCCAATGAAATACAGTGACTACTTGGGGGGGGAGGGAAGTACAATACACATTATATATTTGGGAATGTATGTGTTAGATACACATTTTTCCCCTTGGGACTGCTTTGACTGTATACTAAAAGTTTTAGCATGTTATCTCATTTTCTTTGATGAAATTTTCTATTGTTTTTTGACCCAAAAATGCTTTAGGATTATATTATCTAGTCTTACCTAATTTTTAATCCTTTCTTCAAATATAATTTCATGGTATTAATAGTCTATAAAAGATAAAGATGTATTTGCATTTATATGTGAGGTTTGTATGCCTTAGTACATGATAAGTTTTTATAGAGGTGCTATGTATAGCTGAGGAATAATTATGAGATATCTGTTGAATCTAACTTTTCTAAAATTCTACTCAGGTTCTTTCTTGCTTATTGTTTGGTTATATTTACCTTGGTATGAGATAGTTATATCAACGTCCCCTACTATTAGTTTTACAGTGTATCTTTCTTTGTAATTCAGTTAACTTTTAAAGTATTTAGGTGCTATACCAATTTGATGTATATATGGTAAATATTGATATTAATTCTATGCTGCTTAATTTGTATGTGATTAATATGCAGTTTTCTTTGAGTCCTTAAATTTCCTTGTTTAATCTGTTCTAATCCAGTCTATTTTTATTGTTGCTTTGTCTGAGGTCATCACTTTTTTTTTTTTTGTTTACCTGAAGAATAAAAGATTTTACTCTAGTCCCTTATTTTAACCCTTGGTGTTTTGAGTGTATTTCTTATAGCTCATAAGTTATATACAACATTGTTGGATTCTACTTTCTAATACAGTCTGCTACCCTCTTCCATTTATGAGTGAGTTTTTAACATTTATGATCACTGTTAGGACTATTAATTACATATTTCCCTCCATTCTATCATTTTAGATTTTCTTTTTCTTTGCTACCCCCTCCTTGAGAAAGAAGGGGGTGTTGAAGGAGTGTGCACAATACTAGTGATCAGTCTGCTTCTGTTCTACTACTCCTTTTCTTTTCCCTAATCACAAGTTCTTACCCTTTTCTTTTATTTCCCTTTTCATGATCCAGCCCTTGAAGAAAGAGTTTGTTTTGCTTATGACTGATGCCTCCCTAAATCTTCTCTTCTTCTTAATTCACTCTCTCCTTACTCTCTCTCTTTCTGATCCCCTGTTATGTTTAAGGTATTTCTACACTAAACTGTGTGCTCAACTCTCCTTTGACCAGTTCAGTTGAAAGTAAGGTTCATGTTGCTGCCTGTTTCCCTCACCCCTTCCTCCCCTCCATGTTTTTATAATCTTCTCACACAGCAAAATTTGATAGAGTAAGTTGCACTGCTTTCTTCCTCCTTTCTTCCTTAATGTATTTGTATTTTCTTCCTTTTTTTGTTTTTTTATCTTAAGAAAACAAAAATATAATAAAACAGCTCCCACATTTACTTATTCATTTCTAAGACTTTTGAAGACATTAGAGTTCTGAGGGGATACTTTCTTCTCCCCCTATTAGAATGTAAACAATTCATCATTGTTTAGTTCAAATGTATTTCCCTTCTCTGCTTCTCTTGATTCTTATGTTTGTCATTGAGAATGTATTCCTGGTCTCTTCACCAGGAATACTTTCAAGTCCTTTATTTCATTAAAGGTCCATTCTACCCTCCTTCCCCCTCTACTCCCACCCCCTGCCATATGATTACTTCCAGCTTTGTTAGAGTATTTTGGGTTATAATTTTTTTGCTTTTGCCATCTGGAATATCATATTCCCTGCTCCTCTCTTCATTATAGTGGAAGCTGCCAAAGGTCCCCCACTATTAGTTCTACAGTGTATCTCTCCCTGTAATTCAGTTAATTTTTAAAGTATTTAGATGCTCTGCCATTTGTCGTCTTAGTACTTCAACTCTTTTTTTCTGGATGCTTTACAGTTTTTCTTCCTTTTTCTTCAAAGCTTAGGATTTGGGCTATAACATTCTTGAGAGTATTAATTTTGGGGTTTCTTCAAAGAGATAACCAGTGGATTCTTTCTTTTTTCACTTTGCCTTCTGGTTTTAATAAGTCTGGGCAGTTTTTGTTCATTATTTCTTGAAACAGGGTACCTAGGCTTTTTGTTATAGATTAGGTTTTCAGGTAGTCTGATCCTTCCTAGATCATCTCTCCTTCATTTGTCTTTTGATTTTGTTCCAATATATTTTGTATTTGGAGTCACTGATCTCCAATTTAATTTTCAAGGTGTCTTACTTGAGAAGGTTTTGTACAACCTGTAACTAAGCTGTTTACAAGTTAGGTCCTAATTGGTGCCAATAATGAATCTCCTGAAGTAGTCACATGTATTTGTGTGAATAGTGAATTCATACTATTCAAAGCTTTAATTGTGTAAAATATGATAATTTGTTCCAACCCAATGGAAATATGCAGTGTGAATTCAAATAATGCAACCACTTAAAGGGATTCATTATTTGCATTACCTGGGATCTAGCTGTATTCTCTTTCCAATTCTTTCCCCTAAAATTCTCAATTCCTTTCCTGTTCTTTCTTGTGAATCTCTCATTTGATTCATGTGATCATTTTTAAACTCTTGTTTTTATTTCTTTTCAGAATTCCAGTAGAGTTTTTGGCAAATATACAATTTTCTTTGAGGTTTTGCTCTTATACGATATGGATTTATTTTCTTCTCTTTAATATCTTGAGCATCATTGGCTCCATAATATTTATTATTAGTATTTTCATGCATTTATTCATTTTATTAGCCTTACTTCCTGAATCGGGATTTTTTCGTTGTTGTTGTTAGACCCAGGCTTTCTTGTACTTCTGAGGCTTTCTCTGGTATCAATCTGTATAATCCGGAGTTTGGGCAATGAGTACCATGTTTTTCAAGGACCTCAGGAACAGCTGTAGCCAGCTTACAACATCCTCTCACTTCATGATCTTGAGGAGTACTCTTATGAGCCTGTTTTTTCTCCAATAGTTAGAGGCAGTATTGCAACTGAGATGTGTAGTTGGTTACATAAATACATGGGGTTGGAGTTCCTAGATGGCTGACTAAACTCACACTCAATATCAGTTCATTGTCTTATCCCCAGATGGTCAGGACAACCAGCATCCATAAGACATACAAGATACCCTATATAGTATACGCACTATGCTCTTGTTTGGGTCTGGTATCTGAGATCTTGGTCTTGTCCAACAGTTTTGTGTCTGGCTACTCAGTGGTTAAGCGGCATAGTCTGTGGTTTTTCTTAGACAGCTCAATGAAGCATGACAGCAAGTCTACCTAGCTGTTGGCCCTGAGTTGAGGAGGCCTTCAAACTGAGTCCTAGAGCTTTTGCTTAAGACTGCAACCCCAGCCTTCTGGCCCCACTGGTATGAAGAAAGAATCAGGACTGGGGTGGTGCTCGCGGTGTCAGAAGCATCCTTCACCCACTTTTGAGGTAATCATAGATCTAGAGCAGGGGTGGGGAACATATGGCCTTGCCTTCATATGTGGCCCTCTAGGTCTTTGGGTGCTGCCTCTTAACTGAGTCCAAGCTTTACAAAACAGATCCTTTTAGTAAGGGGATTCATTCTGTGAAGTTTGGATTCAGTCAAAGGGCTGCACTTGAGGACCTAGGGGGCACATGTGGCCTCGAGGCTGCAGGTTCCTCACCCCGATCTAGAGTCTTGAAGGGATCCCAGAAGCTATCTAGTCCAGCCTCCTAACTTTACATGAGAAGAAAGTGAAGTCTAGTTAGGGTTAACTGGCTTGTCCAAGGTCACCTTGGTGTAGTATTCATCAGAGCCAGAATTTGAATTTCCTCCGACCCTAGAATCAGTGACCTTTCCACTGTGCCACTTTCTCCTCTGTTGTTTTCTAGAAGTTCAGTGTCACAGAACAAAGTAATTAGGTTTGGGAAAATTAGGTTTGGTGGCAAGGAGGGCCCCAAACCATTTCTTTTTTTTCTTTTCTTTTAATTAATTTATTTTGATTTATCAACAATCACTTCCATAAGCTTTTGAGTTTAAAATTTTCCTCCCCCTTCCTCCCCACCACCCTCCCCAAGATGGCACACAATCTGATATAGGCTATACACATACATTTCTATTAAACATATTTTCACATTAGTGATGTTATAAGTAAGAATTAGAACCAATAGGAGGAATCACCAGAAAGAGGAAATAAAACTCAACAGAAGAAAAAAAAATAGCAAATAGTATGTTTTGATCTGCATTCAAACTCCATAGTTTTTTCTTTGGATATGGATAGCACCAAATCCATTTCTACAGAGGGAATGGGGTAGCCACTCTTGCCAGCTGTGTGATAGTGACACAATGCACACTTCTCTACCCCTTCCATATATTCATCTGCCATCATTCTATACATGTGTTGTCAGAAAAACTAACTCGCTAAGTTAATAAACGCTTAGTATCAGAAGGTTGGTCTTATTGGTGAACTTTGGCCACAGAAGGGGTTGTGAGTTGCATTGGTGGAAAGAGGATTATAGCAGGGGTAGAAGAGTTAAAGCATTTCAGTTCAATAGCAAAATCAATAATTGATACTTTTATCCCAGTGTTTTGTGCTAATACAGCTGAAAAGAGCTGATAATGGGCAGTGGTTATTATACTAATCTTTCTCAGTTATCCTGCAGATGGCAGCAAGAGCTCTATGTCAGTGTTTGCAGTACACAGAAAGGCATAGAGGGTTGAATTCAGATTTTTTTTTCTTTGTAACAGATGGAGGTTTATTGTTCTGACTTCCATGCTGAGAGAGCAGCAAGAGAGAAGATTCATGAAGAAAAGGAACAACTGGCATTGCAGCTGGCACTTATGTTGAAAGAAAACAACGTTTTTGAAGATGGGAGCAGGTAAGATGAAGTGAAAGGCCAACTTGAAATAGATTGCAATACAGACTTGGAGCTTGATTCTCGATTCAGCAGAGCCATCTTTGTTCCCCTATAAGAGGAAACTGCTGATAAATTTTAAAAAGTCTCAGGGTGTTTTTTTTGTTTGTGTGTTCAAGTTCTGGAGAGACAGAACAGTATAGTCCTGTTAGTGCTAGACTTGGAGTGCCTAGGCCTGGGTTTGATTCCTTCCTCAAGCACTTACTTTGTGATGATGGATAAACCCTTTCACCTTCCCAGCCTCAGTTTCTGTAAAATGAGGCTGATAATACTTTGCAGGTGGTGCAGTGGATAGAGTGCCAGGCCTGGAGTCGGGGAGACTCATCTTCCTGAGTTCAAATCTGGCCTCAGACACTTACTAGCTGGGTGACCCTGGGCAAGTAATTTAACCCTGTTTGCCTCAGTTTCTTCATCTATAAAATAAGTTGGAGAAGGAAATGCAAACCTTTCCAGTATCTTTGCCAAGAAAACCCCAAATGGGGTGTCAAGAGTTGGACAAGACTGAAAAATTATTGAACAACAACAATAACAAATACTTTTACTACCCACCTCACAGGGTTATTGTGAGGAAGGTGCTTTATGAACATGAAAGTCCTAGGCAAATGGGAGTCGTTAGCTGTTTTACTTTTGGGCTATAGGACTGGATTATTTGGTTTCACTATAGTTCCCCTTTTTTCTGTTTTTGTTGTTTTTAGTATTATTCTTTTTTTTCCCCTTTAGGCAATTGAGGTTAAGTGACTTCCCAGGGTCACACAGCTAGTAAGTGTCAAGTGTTTGGTCTGAGGCTGTATTTGAACTAAGGTCCTCCTGGCTCCAAGGCCAGAGCTCTATCCACTGTACCACCTAGCTGCCCCCTTGTTTTTGTTGTTTTTAAAGATTGGGTCTCCCTACCTCTCCAAGGCTGGCAGTGCTTGAGCTTCTCTCAGGTTTGGTGCCACTCTGATTGGCACTGGAACTTTGACCTGCTTTGTTCTCTGGAGCAGTAGTGCTCCACCATCAACAATGCACTGACCCCCTGTTCCCAGAGTTCCCCAAGTCAATGGTGAACTTAGTGCAGGCACCCAGCCAGTTTAGCCCAATGCAGCTCAGAACTCCTGAGCTCCAGAAGCTCCAGCCTCCCCACCAGCAGGGATTGATTGCAGGTGTATTACACAACACCTGGCTCTCTTTATTTTTAAAAACGAACAGGAACTGAATTAGATGAATGGCTATGACTCATTTACCTTATATATTAATATAGTAGCTTTCAACTGCTGACCTAACACTTCAGATCATCTCATTGTATCTGTGAAAGCTGAAATGATTCCAGTAGATGCAAAGAAGACTATGCTATGTCTTGTGCTTGGAGTTTTGGTTGTTCGGGGGCTATCCCCAATACCTACAGCTGTTAAGGAAAGCTTTCATTCTACTGGGGAGAAGCAGCATGTACACAGATAAGCAAACAGAAAATAGATACAAGGTAATTTGGGGGAGGTAGATAGGAACAATAACACCTGAGGGAATTAGCAAAGGCCTTTCTGAAACAGCACTTGAGCTGAGCCTTGGGATTCCAAGAATTAGAGGTGAGGAGGGAGAAAATTCTAAGAATTATGTGGCAAAACCGTTTCAATCCAGTTCCTCTAGATGTAAACCCAGTACTCCTTCTACTGTACCATGGCATACTCACTACTTATAATCTGCTGTTTATTCACCTGGCCAAATGCTAATTTACATTAACTGAATTATGCCCATTTCACTGGCACTTTTCTTACCAGCCCAGTGCAAACAGGTTTGATTAGTACTGGGATGTTGAGACTTGATGTGCTAAAAGAAGTATTAGAGGGGCTACAGTAGAGAAATTATTTTGATAAAACTTCAATCTCTTTTGAACCAGCTACTGGATTCCATGCACTGTTGGTCATTCCTACCACTCAGGCTTTTAGGGAAGAAACACAACTCCCTTGGTGATGCTTTTATTTTGAGGATATATAATTTACTCATTGAGAAATTTTGTCTATCTGTGGTGCCTTCTTTCAGAGATCTAAAACACATCATTGTGGATTTGGGGATCATATTTTGCAATCTTAATGGATTTAAACTTGTGCAAAATTAAAATAGAGATGTTAAATAAAAATTTTAATTCTGTATAGGAATAAAGAAGACTTCAACTATTTAGTCATGAAAGAAAACACATTACCAAATGTCTGATTTTACACTTAAAGTTAATTTATTGAGACCATGTCATGTTTAAGTAATATTATTTAATACTTCTATAAGAATATTTTTTTTTCTGCATTTGGCTTCATTTTGGAGGTGAGAAGGGATCTTGAGGGTGGGGTGGACAAAACACACATGTGATTTCATCAGTGTAGAGAATGCCCATTTGACAACTACTTCTAATGATGTAGATTGGCAGCTTGTCTGTTACTTACAGCCTCAGAAAATTGCTTGGAGCACTTTAGAGATGTAGATTGGCAGCTTGTCTGTTACTTAACAGCCTCAGAAAATTGCTTGGAGCACTTTAGAGCCTATGTAAGGATCACATAGCCAGTAGAGTATCTAGCATTCATATACTGCTTTAATGTTATCTCATTTGAGTTTCACACAACCCTGTGAGGTAGGCACTGGTCTTTTCCCCATTGTACAGATGAGGAAACTGAGGCTGAAAAAGATTAAGTGACTTGCCTGGGGTCACATATCTAGTAAGTGTCTGAGGCCATGTTCAAACTCAGGAATTTCTGACTCCAAGGCCAACATTCTATCCCTTGTTGCCACCTATCAGCCAGTATATTTCAGAGGTAGGACTTGAAACCAGATCTTTCTGACTTCAGGCTACACTTCTGTCTATTATTCCATGCTGCCTCTTTTTTATTTGGTTTCTTGACATTGTTACAATCCATTTGGTTTTGTTAGCTCTCTTTAAAATTTATATTACTTCCATCTTTCAAAATGATAGAAAATTAGTGTGTGCTAATCTTTATTCTTAGCAGACAGTCTTTGATGGAACTGCAAAGCCGTCATGGGGCCAGATCAACAAATGAACAAGACCAGCAACCCTACCTTGTTCAGAGAGGTAAATTATTAAGCCCCTTACTTTGCTTACATAATACATAGTGTAATATCCTCTGGAGCCCTAGAGAGACAAAACCTTATCTAACCAGATTTTCATACTCCTGGAAATTTTCAAAATGTTTCCTTACATGTTTCTGAAAATATGACTTGCTATCATAGGCTTGAGAATTTGGTGTTGTGGTTTTTTTTTTTAACTTTTTTTTTTTTAGCTAATTCTAAAAATAAGCAAACCTCACTTAAGTCCTACTCCTGGGCATGGGAAGTGACCTAGGCTTCTCAAAGAATGTCAGCAGTATGGTCTTGTCTAGGAATTGTCTTTGTTACCCTAGCTAAGATAAACCATATCTCTTATTGTGCTCCACCCGCAATATTTAAAATTTACTAAAATGAGGTCAAAATGAATCCAAAGGCATCTCAGAGAGAATCATCACTAGAAGATAATGAACAGTATTTTCATTTTTATCTTTTAAATCACAGCAACTCATGAAGATGGTCCCCTAATGCACAGAGGGATTGCAATCTCAGTCAGTAGAAGGAATACCCCAATTAATTAAATTACAGATTATGTGAAGTATCAACTTCAGAAATCATTAAGTTTCTGAGTTTGGGGTTAGATTTAGGGGACAGAAAAGTATCATCCTTGTTTTGTAGATTCTGTTAAACATTTGCTGAAAGTCTATCATGTGTAATGCCCTGGGGAAATACAGAAACAAGTCTCCCCTTGCTCTTATAGATCATGCATTTTACTGAGAAAAGTAGAAGAGAAATGTAATCCAGAGGATAACCAAATGATAGCTGAAAGGCAATTTTAATGATTGTTAAGAATCCAGAAAAATTGCATATCAGCTTTTAAACTTCTTTTTTTTGGGGGGGTAATGCTGGATCAGTTTCAAGTCATCACTTAATAACTCAAACATTTCAAGCACTATGCCAAAAAAGAATAAACAGTGTCTCTTATTGTGTTGACAAATTTTCATTAAGCACAGATTAAACGAACACCTCCTATTAGAATACAGAGACTTCTTGGGGCAGATCTAGGACAAATCCTACTAGTATGCTTCATACCCTATTGCCTCCACCAAGCATTTTTACTTACATAAAATAAGATTAAATTTACTTACATAAAATAATATTAAATAAGATTAAAATTAATTTCAAAGACAGCTTTAAAGGAGAAAATTAATCACAAAAATACATAGAAGGTGGTAAGGGAATGGGTGTGTCTGAGTGTGTGTTCGTACATGCACACCTGTGCTTGTCTAAGGTTATTAGCCCTTTTTTAAAACATTATAAGATTAATAAGACAAAGATAAGTATATAAAATAAGAAATAAAACCATTATGTTATCTAATAATAATTTCAACAAAAGAGTCAAACATGTAGTTGAAAGAATTCTTGTTCAAGTACAAGTTGGACTGAAGGATCTCTGAGGTCCCTTGTAACTCTAAAGCTCTGTGAAAATGACAAAGGATGCATTTGCTGTGTTTCCCCTTCCAAGTCCATCCAAAGTGATATTCCTTTTGACTGTACTTCCCTTTGTGGGTGCGGAGCCAGAAGGAATGGTAAAGTTTGGCACTTTCAGATGTGTGGGTTTTTCAAGTGTGGAAACTCCCTCCCTAGATAGAGAGGTCTTTATCTGATAGTAGTGGGGTATACCTGGGAAACTGAGAGGTTAAATGAACTTGCTCATGGCCTCACAGCTAACATGTGCTCAGCATGTGAACCCAAGCCTCCCTATCACTAAAGCCAGCCCTCTGACACATATAAAATATCAAATATCAAATATCCACATCAATGTAGTCAGTTTGTATGCTGTTCCAATCCTGCTGATCTCACTTCGCATCATGCATGGCTTTCTACATTTCCTGGTATTCATTTCTTTTGGAGTGCCATATTTTTCCACTGTAATGTCATAATTTATTTAGCAATCTTCTAATCATTACACATTTAAGTTATTTCCATTTTCTAGCCAGAACTCAAGTTCCAATAGAAATAGAGAAACAGAATATTAGGCTGCTTTGTAAAATAGTGAGTTCCTTGTCACCAGAAGTGTTTGAGCGGAAGCTAGGTGAACCTCAGGAAGGTTATAAGAGATACTTTATGTACCAGATAGGAGGTTGGGCTACATGGTCTCTGGTGTCCCCATCAACTTTTAGAGTTTATGATTTTTCCTTTAATTTGTGTGTCTAGTGTAATAACTGCAGCTATAAATCAAGGAATTAGTAAAAAAAAAAAAAAACCTTTTTTAAAACCACATTATTATAAAACCCACTAAAAATCGTTATTAGTAGAAGTTTGGTTACATTTGCTAGTGACTACTAAACTCTAAACTTAGGCTTATCAAAATGAGTATGTTAAAAAAAAAAAACCAAAAACCTCTACTTAGAGCAAATGATTCACAGGATGGATGAGTTTTTTATGCTTTGTTCCCAGGAGCTGATGATAGAAGCTGGCGGCAGCAACAACAGCAAAGGAGTATTCCAATCCATTCGTGCCCCAAGTGTGGAGAAATTCTGCCAGACATAGATACATTGCAGATTCACGTTATGGACTGCATTATATAAATGTTGATGTCAAAACAAAACAAAAAAAACCACCCTTTCTGGTAGATATTGACTTCGTCCTCTAAGAGCTGTACCTTTGTGTGTTTTTCCTCAAATATTTTGGCCCATTACATTTGTTTTAGAAGAAAGAAAAACTTCTGTGTGTTAAATGAGTCACTGATTGTCCATAAAGGACTCCATTTAAATGAGCTTCATTTTTTGTGTTCAGTTTATACCAGCTTTGCACCTTAATATCTAGATAAATTAATGTAATCAGAAGATAAACTTTACTGATCAATTTAAAGTCCTGTAAGTGGGCAGAAAAGATGAAGTGGTTACAGGTTTAATCAAGAAACAGACTTCCCGTTTTCGAAGTATTCTAACAAATTGTACAGTTCTTTTTATTCATCACCCATTTAAAATGAATCCTGTTGGATTTTTTTTTTTTTGCATTATAGTTTATTTACTGTAGCTAGTGTAAGCATACTAGATTTTTTTTGTATGCTTTTTATCTGGGCACCATGCGCTTTAACTTGACATAAGAAAAATGAAAAATTGTGGGCATATGTGAAGCAAGTGTTAGGTTTATTTGATTTTATGAAATAGTTTACAGTGTAAAGATGTTAACTTTGGGGTTTTTTTTAGTTATTAAGCATAAGTAGGTTTGTACAGTAGATGCTTATTCACTTGTTGACAAGAGAACAGATGTTTATTCATTTTCTTAAATGATCAAGTTACATCTTAAGAGTCATAAAAACAAAATGATTGCAAAATAAAACTGCTTATAAATATTTTAGGCTTTTTCTTATATGTATATTGACTAATTTCTTAACATGCATTTTTCTGTATTAAATTATATACATATAACTAGCTATATGTATTTGTTTGCTTAATTCTCTGGACATGACAAAATCTCATTCCTGGAGGCCAGTTCTCATACTTAGATTGCCAGTAGCTACATCCTGGGATGTAGATTTAGCTATCCTTAAGTGAGCCTAGTTCCAACTGGCCAGCAAATTTTGAACCAGCCATGAAAATAAGCCCAAGTCTGCAACCCCACAGACTAAAAAAAAAATTAAGACAGCAAATCAACATCTTCTATGTCTTTATATTATCTTTGGGTTTCATTTTCATGGTGTGTGATAGGAATACTGTATACTTTAGTACAAGCTGGCAATGTCTATTCTATGACCCTGGTCAAATTGAGGAGCTGGTGAGAGAGTGGGCCCAGATTCAGCAGATGGAGTGTCTTGCATAAGGAACATCAAGAGGCCACTCTCTGTGTGCTGTAAAGTAACTAGAGGGGAATAAAGTATAAGAAAGTGGGAAGGTAGGAAAGGGCCAGGTTGTGAAGGGTTTTAAATCCCAGACAGAAGAATTTGTATTTGATCTTAGGTAATAGGAAACCACTAAAACTTTTGAAGAGAGGAGTGACATGCTCAGACTTTTCCTCTAAGAATACCACTTTGGCAACTGTGTGGAACGTGGATAGAAGAAGGAAGATATCTGAGACAGGGTGACCAATTAGGAGGCTATTGTAATAGTCCAAATGGAAGATGATAAAGACTTGAACTAAGATGGTACCTGTGTAAGTGAAGAAATGGGGACAGAAACAAGGGATGATATAAAGGTAGAATCAATAAGACTTAGGAACGGATGGAATATGTGGGGTAAGGAAGAGTGAGGAATCAAGAATTATTACAAGGTTGTACGTTTGGGAAGAGAAAGAAGAGGACCCAGGACAGAACCTTCAGGTATTCCCAAGTATAGAGCCTTATGCTGAACAAGGAGAGGGATCCAACAAAATAAATCAGTTGGGTAGGAAGAAAAAGAAGAAAGCAGTGTCAAGAAAACCTAAGGAGGAGAGGTTGTTCAGTAGTACCGGATGGTACAGAGAAGTCAAGTAGGATAAGAACAGAGACAAAGGCATCAGATTTGGCAATTAACAGAGCATAGCTAACATTGGAGAGGGCAAGGCAGAAGCCATATTGTAAAAGGTTTATAAATAAATGGGAAGTGACACTGATAGCTTTGGCTAGAAGTGTGGCTGTGAAGGGGAAAAGAAATATAGTTTGTTAGGATGGTACAATTAAATGACAATTGTTGTTGTTCAAGGAGGAAGATCTGGAGATGTTTTTAGGCATCAGGCAAGATGCCTGTGAATAAGGAGAGGCTGAAAATTTTGAGAGAAGAAATGTTCCCAGAAAAGGCAGGAGGGAATAAGGGCACAAGGCGTGGTTGGTGAACAGACAACTTCCTCAGAGACCATAACAAAAGAGAGAGGGAGATGCTGAGGTGATTTGGAATGCAGAGTTGGAGAGAAGAGGGAACTCACAATGGAAGGCCCCAATTTTCTCAGTTAAATATTTGGCAAAGCCCTTGGCTTAGGCAGAGGGTATGATTTAGATAGCTTCAGGAAAGAAGAGAAGATTTGGAGGAGATGCAGAAAGGAATAGGATAGAATCGATCAGGGATTAGTAAAAGGACTGGTAGATAACTGTGATGGTCCAGATATGAATGGGTTATACAACTCTAGTGAACTATGGGTAAACTCTAGTGAACCCAGTTAGCACAGTTCGTGACTTGCTCCATTTGCTTTCAGCAGGATGCATGTAGGGGAGAAGGCAGAATAATCCAGGGATAGGATTTGGAAATGAGCAGGGTAGGACAAAGGAGCAGATTTAAGGGTAGATAACAGTGTAAAAGTTCAACTGGTTACCTCTAGGATCTTGAAGGAAGGAAAGAGGCCAGAGCCAGGGTGAGGGCCGAGAAAGCAACTAGAGGATGAAGTGACAACAAAAAAAATAAATAAGCATATAATAGAGGTAAGGCACAGGGAAAGAAGATGTAGAATTCTTTTTCAGGTAAGGAACTAAAAGTTCTCTGTAAGAACCTTCCAAATTTGTGATTCTATGATTCCCCCTGTAGCTGGGGGAATTGGTTCATAGTTGTAAGAACATATGGTGTGCATTGTCAATGTATTTATAATTGACCATTGGCTTCTGGCCACCTTCCCTGGTGCTGCTGTTCAGCTCAACTAAAGAAATGTACCAAAAGTACATCTTAATGCTCTGTGTCCAACATATCTTTTTTTTTCCCTTGCTCTTCCATTAAAGGGCTAGTTTGTGTTGATAGCTGTTTCAATTATTTCTCATTTTCTGTCTGAGGCATCCAAACCTAGACCTAAGACTTGAATGTTGTCTACTAAGAATTTCTCCTTATCTATGTAAATCAAGGCCACCTAGAATGCCTTTCTTGCAGCAAATAGCATATTAGGTGGACCCTCTTTCCAGATTATTCTGACTCAAGGCTCTAGATGCAATAGTCTCAATTTAGATGCTTTCCTGCCCTCTGCCTCATAGAATCCTGTACTTTAAGACTCAGCTCAATTACCAACTGCATGAAGCCATTCCTAATCCTCTCCCTAGCTACTAATGCCATCCTTCCACAAACTACCTCATGTTTATTTGTATTTTTCTGTCTGTATGTTTTCTCTCCCCAGACAGAATATGAGTCCCTTGAGAGCAAACTATTCCATTTTTGTGTATGTATTTCCAGCATAGCACCTGGTACATAGTAGGCATTTAATAAATATTTGTTGCCCAACCAATCAAGACTGGGAAGTGTTGAAGGTTCACCCTTGTAAGCCATGTTCAACTTAGGTACATTGACCTAGTCTCCAAAGAAGGGAGGGGTCGTATTACCTGAACCATTGCAGCCTGAATACTACTCTATGGTCATGCTAACCATCCCCAAAGCTATCCAGCCTATCCTTATCCATCCCCATTTGCCACTAAACCCCTTGTCATGAGTCTCCCTTTGGCACTCATTCAAAGATAGGCTTCTAGAGTGGCATACCCTTCCATCAACACTGAGCTACAGGCCCAATAACTCACCAAGGTTTTAGAATTACTCAAGATTTAAGCAGACAAATTTTCAATCAAGCATGACCAGAGGAGATGCCTTTGCCATACCACTGAACTTCTTTTTCCACTGATGGGCCTCTTCTACTATATACAAGCAAATGACCAGAATCCCAGCATAGAAAGCACCAATACTAGGAATCTCATGGGATCCCCAAAAGGCTTCTACCTAGCTGGTCTATGCCCAGATTCAGGCCTTTTCTGTCCTTCTCCTAATGATTCCCCCTATATTCCTAATCCCAGGCCCAATGACATCATTAGGCTCATCAAGAATGCCACAGCAGAAGCACAATCCATGGTGAATTAGGTACTGTTACCATTTAGGCAAGCAGTCTCTGGCTAACCTTGAGCTACACAGGCTCAGAGGTCTCTGCCACTCCAGGGATGTCTCTTTAGTCTTGTTTGTCCTAAGTATGCCCCTTGCTTTTGTCTTCTAGGCAACTGTTCAGCTATAGAGTCATATCAGTTAAGGCCACCATATCCAAAACTACTGAATGTCCTACTATGTTGTCCTTTAAATTCTCATTAAGCACTTTAGACACACTTCTATTAGCCCTGCCTCTTGCCAGCCCAAGATTGCTCTCAGGTAACAGAAATCTCTTACATAGCCTATCAAAGACCATTGTCCCTATTGAAATTTCAGCAAGGTACCACAGTAGCCACGTCCTGTTTGAAAGGGGAATATCTCCATAAATAACAAGGAACCTCACCTTAAACAGCTGATATATTAAAGTTGCTGCCCACTCCAAGGTGTACTCCCCCAATCAGACAGTATTAACTTACTTACTATGAGCCAGTCACTATTCTAAGTGCTGAGAATATAAAGAAAGGCAAAAACATGGTTCCCTACTCTCGAGAAAATCACATTCTACTGAAGGAGACGAGAAGCAAACACTTGCAAGAAATTTCAGGGGTAAGGCACTAGCAGCAGATGTGGACTCCTGAAGAAGGTGGAGTTTGAGCTGAGTCTTAAAAGCTCCTTAAGGAAGCCAGGAAGTGGCAGTACGGCGAGCATTACAGGTGTGGGAGACAGCTCCTGAAAAAGCACCAAGTTAAGAGATAGAGCAGTACGTGCAAGGAATAGCAGGGCCAATGTTGCCGGATCATAAAGGTCTGCTGAAGCGGTCCATAGCTAGGTTGTAAAAGACTACCTAAAAAGACCTGTGTCTGCTCCTTGTGCCCCTGCATTAGTGGGTGGGGAAATAACAGAAGCAGCAGCAGTGCTTCCCTGGCTGGGAAAGCTGGTACACATGCTATGGTCACCTATAGTGGATACTCTACTTATGCCACAAGCTGAACAACCAGGTCCTGTTGGTCCTGCAACTGCTCACCAACCTAGTATGTAACTTTCATCAAACCCTCGAGAGGTGGGTGCAAAGTTGGGGCTACAGTCTTCATAGAAGACTGATATTACTGTTATGCTCCCATGACCTTTTCAATCAATTGGTGTTCATTCCACTGTACCACACTACCTCAGTGAACTGACAAGTATAAATAAAATATTATGGGAATTCAGAGGCAGGACAAATCATCACATCATAGATTCAGAGCTGAAAGTAATATTAGAAGTCATCTTGTCCAACTACTCAGTTTACAAATCAGAAAACTGAGGTCCAAATCAATTCTGGGTAGGGAATTGGGGCAGATTTCACAAAGGAGATGATATTTGAGGTAGGTCTTGATGAAAACAGGATTTATATAGGCATATATTTAGAAGGCAAGAATAGACATTCAATAGATGAGCAAAGGTACAGAGGTGAGAAAACGTTGGGAAAGTATTCCAGAAACATCACAGAACCAGTCTTGCTTGAGTGGTCAGGGTAAATGAAGAGTGCAATTAAAAAGCTGAAAGGGGAAGATCAGGGGATTTAGAGGCCATATCAAACTCCCTAATTTTATAGATGAGAAAATTTATAGATTAGAAAATTTTACAAATGAGGAAAAAAAAAATTAAGGGACTTGCCCAGTGTCACAAAGGTAAAAAGCAACAAAGACAGAATTCAAATCCATACCCTCTTGACTCTAGGTTCAATGTTCTTTTAGAACCTAGTGCCCTTATAAGAGTAAGACTAGACTGGTGGCCAGAAACTGGAAGCTTTTGAAAGCACCATCAATTGGTGAGGTGGAGGACAGTTTTTGCTCTCCTCTCCCTTGTTTCTCTTGATTGATTTTTCTTGATACCACCTAGACCAGGAGCTGGGTCCTATAGACAGACAGACAGACAGACACACACACACACACACACATACACACAAACACACCCCTATCCCCTTATCTCACCCATATCTGAGAGTATGGTAAGGAGTTTCTGGAAATGGTTGGGCAGATGTTTCAGGGAGGCAGATATGCTTGGTCTATTTCTTTTCCATTTTTTAAATATAGCCAATAAATTCAGTGTATGCGTTCTATGAATATTTGTTGTTCAATCATTTTTCAGTTGTGTCTGACTCTTCATGACCCCATTTGAGGTTTTCTTGGGTGAAGATACTGGAGTGGTTTGTCATTTCTTTCTCATTTTATAGATGAGGAAACTGGGGTTAAGTGACTTGCCCAGGGTCACACAGCTAGTAAGTGTCTGAGGCCACATTTGAACTCAGGCCCTCCTGACTCCAGGATCAGTGCTTTATGCACAGCGCCACCTAGCTCTCCTGTTCTATGAATAAAGGGAGTTAAAACTGAGAGGAAATCCAGAGCAAGGTGCTAAAGCGAGGGGCTGAATCATGAATTTATACAGAGCCTCCTCAAAAGTTTTAACCTACTAAAGCTTAGACTAGGAATTTTGGAACACACTACATATTTTAATTTTTGAGTCATATTTAAAAAATTTTCCCTTACACTGAGAATCTGGTCAGCATTGCCCTGAGAAGCCAGCAAGGCAGAGAATATGAGAGGGGAGTACTCTGAGCATTTGCAGGCTGAACTCCCTCTGGTGGTCAATGGCATACTGCAATTGTTTTAGAAAGGCTGGCGCTAGAAAAGTAGTGCCAGTACTTACCTGGGGACTGAAGTCTAGCACTTTCAGGCAGACAAAAAGATTCTGCACTCCCTCTTTCAATGATATTGTGCACTGTTTTTCTGTAGACTTAAGGAAGGAGCACAAGAACTGGTATGGAATGTCCTTCATGTCGCATGGAGCCTATACCTGTTATCCCTAATTTAGTAATGAGAGTTCCTTTTCTGATTTGTCTGAAGCAAACCACAGTCAGTTATTGGTAGGCAATGGAACTATTGGAGATATTTGAACAGAAGTGTAATAAGATTAGATATATACATGAGGAAGATTAGTGTGGCGGTAATATAAATGATGACTTGGAGGAGGGACTGGTACAAGGCTACTGGAATAGTTCTAATAATGGTGGTGGCAACGGAAACAAAAGAAATGAAGGTTGCATAGGTAGAATTAATAGGATTTGGTAACTGATTTCATGTGAAAAATAAGGGAGAAAGAATAGCAAGAAATAAAAAACAGTATTTCAAATATATATTTCCCCCAAGGTTCTGTCCTTTTCTCTATCTGTACTTTCTCCCTTGATAGTCACATCTACTCCCATGGTTTTAGCATCTCTATATAGCTATCTTGCAAATCTATCCACAGGCAGCCTGGTACAATGGATTGAATATGCACTGGCTTTGGAGTTAGAAGACTGAGGTTCAAATCCTGTCTTCCACCTTAGTCAGTCAATAATCATTTAGTATCAAGCTTCCAAACGATTGCTTTATAGAAATAGAAAAAATAATGAAATTCATCTAGAGAAACAAAAGATCTAGAATCTCAAGGGAAATAACGAAAAAATTGGGAAGAAAGGAGGCCTAAGAGTACCAGAACTCAAACTACACTACAAAGCAGTAATTGTTAAAAACAATTTGGTCTTGGTAAAGGAAGTCAATCAATGGAGCAGATTAGTTAAAAAACATACATAAGCAAATGAACTTAGTAACCTAGTGCTTGATAAACCCCAAAACCACAGCTACTAGATAAAGACCCACTATTTGACAAAAATTTTGGGAAAACTGAAAGGCAATCTGGCAGAAAAATTAGATTTTGACCAGCATCTCACACTAAGAGTTCATGAAAGAGGATCACAGAAGCTAAAAAGGGAAATTCTGATCACAGTTGAAAAGTTTTGTACCAACAAAATCAATGCAACTAAAATTAGAAGGGAAAGAATTAACTAGGAGAAAAATCTTTGTAAAAAATTCATCTGATAAAG